CTTTATGTTTCATAGTTATGTCATCTGAATATGTCACAGGTATTTTCCTTTTTCTTTATCTGAAATCATTTTATAAATGATTTCTGGTAATCTAAATTGAATTAGAAAATTTGAAAAACAAACAGTTTACAAATCAATGTCATGTTAACAATATTTACCAAAAGCATGTCAAATGAAAAATGTAAGAAATATAAATAGCATTCTCAGTCCTCCAACTCCATCCCCACCATGAGTATGTTATCATTAAGATTTACACACGCAGTTCAAGTTAGGCAATGAAAGCTTGTACAACTTCAGTTCACCCACTACAAACCCATTTCAAAATTCACACCCAATGCATAAAAGAATCGCTCCTATGAAGTCCAAGCACCATTTTTTATCCACCATCACAGGTAATTCATACCAAATAAATACTTTATTGCTTAAGATGATAGTAATTTTAAATGTAAGAAAGCAACCATAAAATAAGCATATAGAATTTGATTTCTTTCCACTAAAACTGTACTGAATCAAGCAGATGAAATAGACTTCAGTTTTGTTCGAGCAGAATTCAAAACCTAAAACCAGATATTAGAAAAGCTTATTAGAAGAGCTCCTATTCAAACATTGTGGAATCAGTTACTACAATGGAATCAGTTACTACAATGAAACCCATACTACAATGAAACACAGGAGAAAAAATTTTGACTCAAATGGGTGACATTACATCTAACTGAAGAAACTAAAACAAAAGTATGGCAAATTATATACCTAAAAATGTCAAGCAACGAAGGCCATAATTAAAATGTTTTGCTTTAAGCAGATAATAGTGAAAGGGTCAGGATGAACCTGCTGCTATCAATTGCAGATAAGAGTGGATGAAGCTCTCTGTTTCAAAAAACCGTTCATATGGTTCACCTGCAAGGATCATCACACCGCCAAAAATTAGAGAGAATAAGAGTTTGTATTCGAACATGGTAAACAGATTTGTACCAAGGAATACATAAGGAACGAAGGGATGGAAAAACAATCTACCAAAAGAGGGATGAGAAGCAAACAGCAGGAAATTATGAAAAAGCACAGAAATGAGCACAGTGAAACAACAAAATTCGAATGATGATTTTAACAAAGCAAATGGAAAACAAAACAATAAACAATGAATTTAAAACAGTGCATTACCTGTTGAATCAGAAGAAAAAACTGAAAACCCAAAAAATGCCCACAGCCATGCTTTCTCCTCTCTCTTTCTCTCTATCTCTATCTAAAATCGGAGAAAATCTCATAGGCCCTAACCTACCTAAACCTCTCTCTCTCACTCGGTCCAAACCCGTAGCTCCCATCTCTCTCCAATCCGTCAGTCCCTCTGTCCACCTCCTCTCCTCCCCCAACAACTCTCTGACCGATGCATCACCCACAGGACACCCACCCGCACGTCCCTCCCGAAAATCCTCTCCCCGAAATCCCGGCGAACCTCCCCCTCTCAACCCTTCTGTCGCCCTTCCCTCTCTCTCCCCGAGTCAAAGCCCAGATCCAGCCCAAAGAGTGCAGACCCGTTCTTAAGCCCATTGGCAATCTTGTAAATGAAGCGAAATTTGGGCTGAAATCAGCTCGGTGGCAAACTCGTAAATAAAGCAAAATTGAGACAAAATTGCACAGTGCCGTTCCCCATCCTACTCTTCTTCTTTTTCTTTTTCTTTTTGGGAAACTGATCAAATATTAACCAGAGAAAGCCAACAAGGGCAAACAAACAGATCAACCAACTAGGAGAGAGACCGGGGGTACAAACAGACACACAAGACCTTGAAGTCAGCCCAATCTCTCAACATCAAAAGACTAGTTTGGCGGGCAGGGAAGGCCGTCATTGTTGAGAATGCCCACAAGCGAAGATGGGGGTCTTTCGACCCAAACGGAATCGCACATCTCCGCGCCAGAAAGAGACACCACATAGTCCGCCGCACAGTTTGCTGATCTTGGGACCCAAGACCAGTCGCAAGCATGGAAGGAATTCCTCAATACACAGATGCGGGATAGGATGGGGAATGCCTCCCAGCTGCAATCATCAATTTGGCCATTGAGGCAAGACACCACCTCTAACGAGTCAGATTAATGACCACCACATGTATAAGAAGGCAAAATCAGAATTGGGATAATATTTGAGGGCAAATTTGGTAGTAGACTAAAGAGTTTTCTTGCCAAGTGCTTTAAAATGACACATTTTTAGGTAAAATATTTTTGAGTTCAAAAAGCATTTAAAGTACTTCCTGCAAGAAGAACTACTTATGTAAGATTATTGATGTTAAAGAAATTAACTCAATCACTACTTGTTCAATTGATCTCTTTCTTTCTCTTCTGCTTTTCTTTCCTTAAGTTCTCTATGCCTCTTGTGTTTTGCCATCTTGGTCAATACCATGAGCTATATATATACATACATACATATATATATATATATATATATATATATATATATATTATATGCACTTGAATAAAACATGTTTGTCTAAATACAATCAATGAGTACTCTTTTTTTTCTTAGATCCCGCATTGAAATCTAACTGTATATATACATTAAATAATGTGCTTCTCTCATCTATGTCAGAGATTCAACCAAAAGAGATGCAAAGTTGCAGTGTGTAAATAGCACCACTCTTCTGTTTTTGTTCTTCTATTAGGTACGAGGAGGATAAGTCTCTTGTAACATTTTGTTCATTTTTAGTTTGCAGAAAATGTTGTAATATCGTTATACTGTAACACACGCTCATTGGACTTAGTTTTTCTCGAATGGCCTTGCGTACATGAGATGTTCACCTTTTAGGATTTCATATATAATTGTAAAAGTATGGCGATGGTGTTAACAAAAAGTGCAATGATGTATATGTTTGGATGTAAGATTGGGAAGCAAAATATATTGTGATAGTTTCAGCACCAGACAAATTGAAGCAAAACTTATTTGCTATGAACAAATAAAGTAGATTCAGAGATAAAGTAAGTGCTTGAGCAGTGCCGATCATGATATCTGAAGACCCCCATGGAAGCTGTCTTGGTTCTTTACATAAATGCAGGATATTTTGTAACAATGTTGTGTTTGTGAATCTTTTTTTTATTGTGGATACTGATAATTTTGAACTCAAACTAAAAGTAGATTCTTAATGGCGAGGCTAAGACGCAACAAAAAAGTGAATATCTGTTTCTATGCAGGATGAGAAGAAATTTATCATACCTGGTTAACTTTGGCTTGATTATTTTCAGAATGAAACTTCAGCAGCAGATGTTGGAATTTGGCAAGTTCAAATATTGTATATTACGTTTAAAACTGCGCTAAGAATACAATTTAGCTCGTAATAGAACCATGACCTCATGAATGCTTCTATTTATGTCTTTTTCATTCAAAGAAAAAAATAAGCCTGCATGTCTAGCTACTTCAGCCAAAGTGTTAATGGATACTGATTATTTCTACTTCCGATCTTGCGCAAGCCGAAAGAAGTCGAATAAATAAAAAACTGAATGTTTTAATTTTCCAAAAGAAGTTTGTTCTCTGCCTCCAGGACCTCATGTTCTTTTTCAATTTGCCCTTTCTTTTCGTACAGTTTCTGAATTTTCTGCACATGCCTTAATGCAACTTGCCATGAGAGCTGAGGCTTTAGTTGTCCAATTTGTTACTACTCCAGAACATAACACAAAAACCAGAGTTGAAGTAGTATATAGTATATCCTATGAGAAATTGTCCTTTCAAGTATGAATTCAAACACGCAGTGCCAAAATAGAAAAGCATATGCCTCGTACTAAACCGACAATATCGACAGCCACAATTTAGGTTTGTTTTTGGACATTTTCTCCCTCCCTCTCACTCGTGGTTAGTGGATGTGACGAGAAGTGACTGTTCTTCCAACAACGCTTTTCAAGCAGTTATGGAGATCCAGTCTGTATTTTCTGATGACAGCTATTTTGTTCATCACTTTTTTGGCTCCTTGAACTCTAACAAGTTTGATTTCTCCCTTGTTCTTTGTAGTGGGGGCAAGCATGATTAAGGAGGTAGTGGAGGATTAGCATAGATTTGCAGGTAAAACAAATAAATGCTGTAGAATTTTTCTTGTTGATTAATTTCAATTTGCATGCTCTTCTATCATATGTTATCTTCAATTTATATACTCCCCAGTTTAGAATTTATTCTCCCCTCTTTGAAATTCCATATGATCATAAAGCCCTTAAATCATGAAAAAGAACAAAGAATGGTTCGAAAAAAAAGAAATGAAATGTAAGAAAATAACAAAAGTCATGCAGATTCACAAAAACTCCATGGGTAGGAACTCAAAAGACATATCAAAGTCGTGACTTTTCTATTCTTTCTTTATATTCATTGCATTATAAATATGAAACCCCATAATTTCTTGTACGCTGATCCAATGATTGCTTCATATCTGGTTATGATTTTCGTAAGTCTGCCCTAAGTACACATAATCAGTTGCTTAGAGGAGTCTGAAGAACTAACTTCTGTCAAGTAAACCTACAAGCTAATGTTAAGTCCTGCTGTGATTGTTGGTGCATCTATGCCTTACTATATTTCTTTACACTGTCTACTTCTCTTCTCTGCAGTGCAGCTTGCTACCTTTTGGAATGAACCTTACGTACCAGCCAGATCAGTTTCACCACCCATTGACCGGTTCTTCTTTGCCACAATTCAATGCTCGTGTTGGGGATGTGGAAGCATTTCAATGCTCGTGTTGGGCATTGCAGATAATGTTGGGTTTAATAGCATGTTTGATAACATGCCCCGTAGTAGAGTTGTTATTTATTTTTTCTCGCGGCATCTGTCAGCCATCAATCTGTGACCCTTTTATTGAAGCAGTGGAAGAGCCTGACGATAAGCTTGTTGATTCAGATTATGAGCAGAGCGAAAAAGAAAATAGTGTCAACAACCATGATCAAGAACCGCACCCTGATGGGTACAACGAAGATGTACATTCTCGAATTGGAGGATGACTCAACAAAGGGAAGCTTGTGACAAATGTGGGCCAAGGATCCACATAATCCTTGAGAAGAACAAGGCTGAGAGCAGCAAGTGCATTGCTCATTATGCAGGGGAGAAGATGTTTCAAGTAGAGCATATGAGTGGGGTTCAATTTGTAGTTGATCTAGCTAAGCACACATGCACATGTAGAAGGTGGAACTTGACTGGAATTCCTTGTGGGCATGCAATAGCTTCCATTTGTAGAAGAAATGAAGATCCTGTCACGTATATACACTCATGCTATAAGAAGGCATCCTGGAAGTGGGCTTATGGACCTTTCATTCGCCCTATGGCTATGAAGAGTTATGGACACGCACCAACTTACCTCCTATTTTGCCTCCTCTTTATCATAAGCAACCGGGTAGGCCGAAGAAAGTAAGGGCAAGGGAACCAGATGAGAAACCAGCGGCACCTACTGGAACAAGGCTATCAAGATCATTCCATGTCAAAATAAAATGCAAAGTTTGTGGGGAGGAAGGACACCACAGGTTGCGTCATCGAAAGGAAGGTGCCAATAGTAGCAATCAGGTAATTTAGAGAACAATGATTTATATTAATCTATATCTTGTGGACTTGTTAGGCATCATGAAGACTTGTTTTGAGACTTAAATTTAGGCGTTATGAAGACTTTTTCTGATGATCAATTGGCTTGCCGTTAATTATGAAGACTTGTTTCTCACGGCTATAATTATTATAACTTTTATAAGGGCCCCCTTGTTTGTAGCTGTTGACTCAAAATCCAACAACCAATGTTAGTGGGTCAGAAGGATCCCTAGGAATTGCCTCGGAGAGGATCCAATTCCCCTTAGTATTACCCTTCTGGATTTTTTTGTTGGATTGATTCGTATTGTCCCACTTGGCAGGCTTCCCTACAACTTTCACCCTCTCTTTCTCTCTTCCATTATTTCCTTTCACCCAAACCTCTCGAGTGCATTACCGTTCATCACTCTCAAATAGTGGTAATGTTCACTACCGTATTTATTTCCGTTAGATGAGCTTGAATTTTGAGATTTATGTATCCATTACAAGAATCTCGAAATTTAAACTCATCAAATGGTGATAAATATGGTGGTGAGAATACACCATATTTTATGATGATGAGCAAAAATACTCTCAAACCTCTCTTTTGGTCTACTTTTACTTTTGTGTGAGTATTTTCATCGTGATTTTCATTAACTTTTCATTACTTTCCTATGGCATTGAGCACTCACAGATCCTCTCTATCTTTTCTTTCGAATGACCCCACGATGGAAATACTACGTGTTTTTACGACACGAATATCTTTTCATTTTGGTCAAAGCGCGTAGGGAGGAGGACTGTTCAATGTTGATTAGTACGATGAAATGTCTTTTAATTTTTTGGATGATCAAGTAATATTTAATTGTTAAATTGCATGATCAATCGAACCAAGAAACTAAACAAACGGTCCACATTTTGTAAACATTTAAATTCTCTCTAATAGAGATATAGCTCATTGAACAAGTCAATTTCACCGCCGTTAGTGAGATTGTTCATGTGTAATACACATAATGTGATTTTCCTTAATTATTTGATTATTTGATTATTGACAACGAAGCATCTCTATTAAATTGCTTGCACCAATATTGTCTCTAACCTCACTGCTGAGGTCATCATTTGCCCAGGCTCATCCCTATGAATAAAAAAATAAACATAGAACCAAACCAGAGAACCAGGAAATAACGAGGAACCCCCAAGAAAGAGCTGAATCTGGACAATTCCAAACTGAAAAGATAAAACTTAATTACCAAAAACACGTGAAAGGAGATTTGACAAAGTCTAAAGAAATTTCAAGGAAGCTCACTATTGATGTGTTGCGAAATTTCAAGAAAGCTCACTTTTGATGTGTCGCGAAAATAACTAAATAATTTTGTAACAACGCATGTTCGTGAATCAAAGACTTTGGTTAATGGATATAAGAATCCATTAACTAGGGTGTTTAATGATTCTACCTCTTTATTTAATTGAATTTCCAACAGTTCATAAAGTTGATCAAATAGCAAGGCAAACCAAGATCACCAAACGTCTCTAATTTTTCCGACTCAAAATATTTGCCCTTACACAGCTTTGCATGTCTGCAGAAAGAGCAGTACTAATTCTCAGACACATTTCATCGAACATGTAGTGTGCCACGTTCTCATACGCTTTCTTACAAGAATAATTGAACAAGATTAACTTCTAGTTTAGTAATTTAAAAAATTAGAAGCAAAAAGAAACCCAAAAATCTTGAAATATTTGTCTTCAAGAATTGAAAGTACCTGGAAAATGTTGGAACATTTCTCAAACAAAACGTATATAAAGCATTCAATCAATAGTTGCTTGGTCTACGTGGGAGTATTTCCTCACTGCTATCCTGAAACGCATTGTATGACATGTTATCCCTTGATAAGTACAAATAGATGATGGACAAACTCCCTATGGGATGGTGACTCCAACTCGCCTTAGCCAACTTGTTATTGCTATGAATGAGCATAATTTTTTATGTTTATCGGACTAAATTAATTGGGATTGTTTTTTGAAGGGTTTAAAAACGAATTGTACCAATTTCAAAATTACTTTTGTACGACACACAAGAAGCAGAGAAATTGATGCATAACCCTAGATTAAAAAATTGCAGACAGAATAAAAGGAACAAATTGAAAACACTAAAAAGAAAACAGCCAGCTGACCTTAGAAACCTTTACCTGTGCTTCTCTTTTACATGCTCCTTCTGCATAAACTGCTACAGTGCTTATTTTTCCTTTCCAATTTAGAAATCTGCAATTCTGCTATAGAAAATGAGAGAATTGAACTACACATATTTTAGAATGACATTCCACCCACTCCTGCCTATTTGCAAAACAAATTACAAACAAATCATAAGAGTATCTTCATTTAAAAAACCTCACTTCTAAAAGTGTCATGTCCAAAATTCTCCCATTTTCAACATGTATTTTTCAAGAAGAGACATACACTGGCACACATACAATGAAAATCATATGAAAAAAAGAGTCAAGAAATCACATAAAAGTATCAATCTTTGAGATCAAACTGTGCGGTAGAGACCAAAATCAAAGAGATTATTGTGTTTTACCTTTTGAATTTTCCAGTTTCCAGACTGATTTTCAATGGCGGACTGCATACGAAGTTGCAGGCCTCCTTGATTTTCTTTTGCTTAGCGGGAGAAAAGGAGGCTTTGGGTTAGTTGGGGAGATGATCGAAGCCTATGGAAAACTTATACAGCTACCCAATGGAAAATTTATGAATAACAAACGGTATTTGGCATAAAAACAGAGTAAAATGTAAAATCAATCCAGAAACTGGCAATGGCTTATTCAAGGGCTATTAATCATGATCTACTAACTAAAAAAATAAACGGCTAAAAAATGCACAATGTTGCAAATAAAATTGATTAATTAGCACACAAAAAAATTGTCAAAAGTTTGTCAAAAGGTCAAAATTCGCAGCCCTCCTCTCTCTCTCTCTCCAATTTGTCAAAAGTTTTTTGAAACTGTTGAAATGTGAAAAAAGAAAAGAAAAAAAAAGTTTTTGAAACTGTTGAAATGTGGAAAAAGAAAAAAAAATAATTACAAAAAATAAAAAGTTCGTCTCCTACCCTGTTTCATAAGGAAGAAAAAATGCACAAAAGATGGAAGAAAAAATGTCGATGCACATCTTCCCTTTTATTATTTTTTCTTTGACCTTTTCAGATGTACCATCCCCTTTTTTAAATTATTCTATTCCTTCTTTTCAGATAGTGTCATGCACCTTTCTACTTGTCTTTTTTTTGTGGCTTCGGTGGCTTTGGCAAATGGGTTTGTTTTTTGGCCCGGCTTCTCTGTTTTTCCAGTTTTGCATACATTTTCATCTTTTTGCGGTAATGATTAAATCATGTTAATATTTTATATTGATTTTTTTATAAAAATAATAAAATATAAAATAATAGTGATATAAAATGTTAACGTAGCTTAACCGTAACTGTAGAAATAGAAGGAGATGAAAATGTATGTGAACTGGAGGGCAGAGAAGCCGGGTCTTGTTTTTTTGTTTAAGGAGAGCAGACAGGCAGCAGTAGAGGGGGAGGCAGCAGGAGAACACCTCATCAATTGTTGCGGGAATGACCTTCATCAATTCTTGTGGACATGACATCCAGCTGCAACTAAATTCCCGAAAGCAACCCGACCCTCGCCCTCCCTCCCTGCCTAGCCGTCTCTCTGTGCACCCGTTGCCGACAAAAATGCAATCAAGCTTTCGGGCACCCCTATCCCTTGATTTGCTCATCCCACCCCTCCCTCTCTCCTCCCAGCTTTCCTGGTCTCTGTCGGTGACTCAAGTAAATTGATAGCAACCAAAAATATATAATAAAAATAGAACTTTAATGAAAAGTTTTTGTTATTATTCATTTTAACGAAAAATCACATTTTTACACTAAAAAATCAATCTTGATACTAATCATTTTATCTTTTATTTTATCTTTATCGTTAAAACTCAAAGTTTTGAAATCATTTTCATTAGTTTTCCTTAATAAAAAATTAACCACATAGCAATTTAATAAATTTATATATATAAAGGATCACATCAAAATGGTAAATTCGTCTGCCACAAACAAGTCATAGCAACCAGACAAACTCCAGTAGCCCAAACACACAAAGCCCATTTTATGGACGTAAAGATAATGAAATCAACCCAAAATTGCACAGTGCCATCCGCCCCCCTTAAGACTAAAGTAATAATTATTTCCTTTCACCAAAATTGCACAGTCCAACTTAGGAGCAGGAGTATGTTGAATGTTGGCTGTTCACCCTGGTTTTTGTGGTTTTTTTTGTTGGATTGATTGGTATTGTCCCACTTGGCCGGCTTCCCTACAATTTTCATTCCCTCTCTCTTCCATTATTTCCTTTCACCAAAACCTGTCTCTTTTGGTTTGATCTGCTCGTACTTTTGTGTAAGTGTTTTCATCGTGGTTTTCATTAACTTTTCATTACTTTCCAAGTAGCCTCTCTATCTGTTCTACTCCTAGGTAGAGAAATATGACACGTCCCAACAAGGAAGGTTTCAGGAAATTTCTCACAAGTCGGTCTTCCACTTTTTTTTAGGTAGAGAAATATGACACCACCACCAGTAGAAGTAGTTGATTGTCCATCTCTCTCCTATTTATTTCCATTCCTACCTCTCTTTCAACTTCCTCTCTTCCTACAACTTTGCATTCAGAATTTTGAGTGAGTTTTCTGCTTATTTTCTTGTCATTTCTCACTTCTCTCTGCCTCTGTGTAAGTTTGTGTTGACTCAGTACTTTGTTTTTGTGGTATTTGCTTTGAGTCCTTAATCTCTTTTTCTTTGCTGATTTTTGTTTTACTTGTTAGTTTTTGTTTCTCTTTTTTGTTTGCAGAACCCATTTTCCACTGGTAACTGAATCTGATTCATTGAAACTGAGTTATCGTGAGGATTGTACAATCAAATCGAATTGTCAAATATGTGTTGGTACTGAATTACATATCTGACCACAGTGAGTCCCTTTAGTTACGAATAAAATTGCATTTTTTAAATTACCAAAAGAAAATTTAAAGTTTCAAAATTTCAATTTTTTTTTTAAATTTTAAGACATTAATCTTCTATCTATTTACTTGTTCATTCAGTTACTGTTCGGAGTACTCGATTTATAGCAACTGTTTTTCTTTTTTCCCGATGGCATTGAGCACCCAAAGAGCCTCTGCATCTTTTGTTTCGAATGAATCCGCTCCTCGATGGAAGTATGATGTGTTTTTGAGTTTTAGGGGTGTAGACACCCGCAAGAGTTTTGTATCTCATTTATACCATGAATTGTGGGAGTGCCAAGGAATTACGACTTTCTTGGACGATCGAGAGCTTGAAGGAGGAACAAGTATTCATCTTGAGCTCCCGAGTGCGATCAAGGAATCGCATATTGCAATCGTTGTTCTCTCACCAAACTACGCTTCTTCCAAATGGTGCTTGAATGAACTTACAACCATTCTTCAATGCATGGAAGCCAGGAACTCAGTTCTGCCGGTCTTTTATGAGACAGATCCATCTGACGTTGGAAATCAGAGGGGGTCTTTTGCCAAAGCCTTCGATGAGCATGAAGAAAAGCTCATTAGTACCGAAGACAAAATGAAGGTGACCCAGTGGAGAGAAGCTCTGAAAAAAGTATCCAAAATTTCTGGGTGGCATTCGAAGGAATCTAAGTAAGCATGCATGAACAACTATAATTTCCCATGTCTTAGTAGAGGCAAACTTGAATGCTTCGTTTATGTTTTTTTTTATTGGTTATTTTATACCTTGTAGGTGTGAAAGGGAGCTTATTGAAAAAATCGTCCAAAGTGTGTGGAGGAAAGTGCAAGCTACATTCACATTGTTAGATTCTTCACAGAAATTTGTTGGGGTTAATTTTAGGCTTGAGCAACTAAGTTCGCTATTAGCTCATGATGCGAATGATGTTCGCTTTATAGGGATAACGGGGATGGCTGGCATAGGTAAGACAACTCTTGCTAAGCTAGTTTATGATAGAATCTTCCATCATTTTGAAGTTCATTGCTTTCTTGGCAACGTTAGAGAGGTTTCTAAAATAAACCGTACTCTAATTGGCCTTCAAAAAAGACTTCTTTTTCCGATGTTGAAGGCAAAGATTGAAGAAATTTGGGATGAAGAGTGCGGACTCTTTTTCATTAAGAAGTGCTTATGCAATAAAAAGGTTCTTCTCGTACTTGATGATGTGGATGATTTAAAACAACTAGAAGTACTGGCTGGAAATCAAAGTTGGTTTGGTATGGGAAGTAGAATTGTGATTACGACTAGAAATGAAGGGTTGCTAGTCCAACATGGTATAGCAACATCATATAAGATGCGGGGGTTGAATGACTGCGAAGCACTTGAGCTCTTTAGTCTGAATGCCTTTAGGAAAGAACAACCCGAGGAAGAATTTTTGGAACTCACTAACCATTTCCTAGAATATGCCAGCGGCCTTCCACTAGTTCTTAAAACATTAGGGTCTTTTTTGCATACGAGAGGTCAGGATGCATGGAAGAGTGTGTTGGATAATATTCATACAGTTCCTAATCCAACAATTTTCAATACACTCAAAATCAGTTATGATGGACTAGAGGACATAGAGAAGAGAGTTTTTCTCGATGTTGCATGTTTCCACAAAGGGAAGTGCATGAAGCAAGTTATTCGAATGCTAGACAATTCTTTTGGAATTTCTAGTAGTATAATGATAGATCTACTAATTGAGAAATCTCTCTTAACTATTGAAAAACGCATCCAATATGATAATTCAGCCAAGTACTTCATAGGAATGCATGATTTGATACAAGAAATGGCATGGACAATTGTTGGTCAAGAGTCTAAAGAGCCTGGTCTACGGAGTAGGTTGTGGCTTCCGATGACATTTTCTATATATTGACGACCAATACGGTAAGAAGCTATGTAAATACCAAGTTCAAAAGAAGATATGATTTCTTTTAACGCAATATACTTAAATGTTAAATTAACGTTTCCCACATTCTTGGTTATTAGGGAACGAGAGCTATTGAAGGTATAGTCTTACAGTTACCTGAAATAGAAGAGGTGCACTGGAGTTGTGAAGCCTTCTCTAATATGCATGGATTGAGGTTTCTAGAATTCGACAATTTGATCATTTCTTCACGTCCCAAATTTCTTCCATGTTCCTTGAGAATTATGGTTTGGAGTTGGTATCCTTCCAAGTCTCTTCCACCAAGCTTTCACCCGCGTTTCCTTTCCCAACTAAGAATGCGTCATAGCAAACTTGTTCGTTTATGGGATGAAAAAGAGGTAAGAGTATATTGAATGAATGCTACTTATCATATTTTTTTATGGATTGTTTTATACACACGCCACATTTTGTTGATCACTCCCCACATGCTCAATACACCCCATATCCATTTTTTAAATTAAAATTTATCTTACCACACCCCACTTGCTTTCCAAAACTACCTTCACAACCCATACTCTTTGTCAATTAAGGATTTTTGAGTTTTGCTTTCGATAGATTTTGGGGTTTTTGTCAATTAGGGATCATTTTCCTTTCTTGCAGCGTAGTTGCATAATACCTTGAATTTTTCAGATTTTTTCAATCACATGGTAAGCAAAGTAGTTGGAAATAGGATGATTGCATTAGTTCCTTCGTCTTGCGATCAGTTGGCTTGAGAGTCTATTAGGATGATTGCAGAAGTGTCATTAGGCTCAGAACATTAGGTTTCTTATTCACCATATTGGCTTCCTTTAGTTTCATCTAGATGATATTGGATTGCCTCGTGATAGTATCATTTTTCTTAATGTTTGCAGATTTTTTTTGTCTTTTAAAATCTTATTATTAGGCCTTAAATAGTCATTTTATAAAAAAAAATAGGTAAGTTATTTAATAAATAAATGTTTGTGGAGTGTCTTTAACAATATGTGTGATGTAATAAAAAAACATATTTATTTTTAAAAAATTGCTGCTCTTATCACATGTTTGTATCATCTCACATGCGTTAGTAGGCCCTACCTATATTAGAGAGAAGGTATAATTAATTGTATAAATAAGTGGTAAATATAGCATTACTCTTTTTTCAATGTCAAATAGAATTGTAAGGTTTTTGGAAGCTTATATATTATTTCATGTATTGTACAGAACTTTCCCAAGTTTGAAATGTATTGATCTGAGCTACTCAAATAAATTGATCACTACACCAGATTTCACTGGTCTTCAAAATCTTGAGGAGTTGGATCTTGGGGATTGTACGAAGTTAGTTGAGATTCACCCATCCATTGCAGTTCTTAAAAAACTTAAAGTTTTGAATCTTCGTGGTTGTGAAAGTATTAAGAGCCTTCCAAGTGAAGTAGAAATGGATGCTCTTCAGTATTTGAATCTTTTCGGATGCTCCAAAGTCAAAAAGATCCCAGAATTTTCGAACCAGATGAAAAGTTTGTCCACGCTTTTTATACGTGGGACTGCGATTGAGAAATTACCTTCATCGATTGAACATCTGGTTGGCCTTACTAGACTGAGTATGAATAAATGCAGAAGAGAGCTGTTTGTTGATATGAAAAATCTCAAATCTCTTTCGCTTTCTGGACCACTTGCTAAAGCAAGGGATGATGGGCCTTGTTGGGGTTTGGTGTTGTCTTCTTTATTTCATTTGCGTTGTTTGGAGGACTTAGTACTACGTTATTGTGATCTTGGTGAAGGTGATATCTCCGATGATATTGGTTGCTTGTCGTCTTTAAAAAAGTTAGATCTTAGTGGAAACGGTTTTGTTACCCTTCCAGCAAGCATCAAATGCCTTTCTCGACTTGAGCGTCTTTACTTGAACGAGTGCCAAAGACTTGAGCAACTGCCAGATCTTCCGTCAAATAGGAAATTATACGTATATGTAAGTGATTGTACTTCATTGAAAAGGTTGTCGGATCCATCCAATTTGTATGATTTTGCTTTCAGTTCTCTGAATTGCATTACATTGGTGGAAGATGAAGACTGGATCAAAACAATATATTCAAGGATCGTGAAATACGCAACTGAGGTGCTCTCTCTCTCTCTCTCTCTCTCTCTCTCTCTCTCTCTCTCTCTCATATAATGGTTCTTTCGGTGCAGAAAATCTGTCGTCATCCTATTGTGTGCCCCGGAAAGGGGATTCCCGAGTGGTTCAACAATCAAACTTTGGGACATGCGCTAGATGTGGAGCTACCTCCGCAATCGTGTAGCAGCTGGATGGGGATTGCTTTTTGTGTTGTTTTTGCACAACCTAAGGAGAACTTGGGTCTTCTTCAAAAACAAAATGAGAACTTCCGAAATCCAGCTGCCCCTCAAACGGATGGATTCTGGATTCGGTGTTTACTTCGGACAAACCGTAAACAGAGTGCACGGAGTTCATGGTGCTTTACAAGGCCTCTTGTGTCTGAACACCTTTGGATATTCTATTTGCCTCGCAAAGAATATCTTCAAGAACAGTTTCTATTTGAAACTTATTATAGTCTCGGAATGAATCAACCCAAAGTAGGCTTCAATGTGGTGAAGAAGTGCGGGGCTCGTGTGGTGTACAAGAAGGATTTGGAAGAACTCAACCGAACACTAAAAATCTTGAAGCGAACACATGAATATTGTGAAGTGGGAGCTTCAAGTCAAAGTCGTAGTTTTGACGTCAAAGAACATACCCGCAAAAGGCACAAGGAAGACAAATAATTGTTTCATGCTTTTTTCAACCATTCAATGCCTCAAAGTTTAGTCAGAATCCATGTAAGTCACTATCTGAATCCCAGCATAACCTACATAATATTTTAGTATTACTTTTTAACTTTTTTGAGCTATAGAATTTTAACTAGCAACGGTGCCCGCACAATGCTACTGGTTTTAAAACTGTATAAAACATGCAAAAAATTCTAAATACCTACGGTATGCAACACTATTTACATTCATGTGAAAATCGATTTACAGTAACTAACATATACGTGTCCCAAGTGTCCATATCACAGTCATTGGTTTCTGGTGCGGAGTTCACAGATTCCTACTGGTTTGAGCTGAAGAGTTGGATGAACTCGCTCTAAACTTCAATGATTTACACAGCTGCTTATCTGTCGGCAATCCATCATCAAGATAAACACTTTTGACCTCAACTGTCCATTTATAACTGAATCTTTCACAAAAACCCAGTAACTATCTACTCCTGCATGACCAGAGCATAAATCTACCTTAATTATATTTCTAAAACTGAATTCAACCCATAAATCCAACTCTAAATTACCAAACAATTAAAAAAAAAAAAAAAAAACTTTAGCATCAGATAACACTTCAAACAGACAAAAAGCACGATACACAATCTTGCACCAATAGATCGAAACCCGAGAACAAACAATCATCAAGAAGCACCCAGATGATCAGAGCAAAAAGCTGGAAGCAAAAAGTATTTTACTTATGCAAAAGCTTGCATTTTTTTTATACCCAACCCTCAAACTTGCATAAATCAAAGAAAAGTAGAAATTAAGATGTAGAGTTGTCCTCAAACATACTGTGTGGAAGCAAAGCATGGAGGTTTGTGAAGCAAACAGCGACATCAAAACAAATTGGAGGTCCGTTAGCCTCTGTTCCTCCTCCTCAATCTAAAAAAATTACAAAAACATTTCAATAAGTACATTAACATTTAAAAAAAAAAGTTTTTGTTCATCATATATTTTGGTTCATACTATGTGAAGGGAGGTATTATAATATGTGTATTCTACAAAATCATATGGCATGTAAAAAAGGATGTATTACCCTCCATCTAAATGCTCCTTGAATATTCACAAAAAGTAACAGAACATTAGAAGTTCAAATTAAAAAAGTATCTAAACTATTTACCATTTCAGAATAACTTAAATATAGAGATCCTCATCGTGTGTCCAGTCATCCATGCTAAATTCCGGAAATGAACGACATCCATATTAGAATAAAGCCATTGACCTTTCTCGATTTTCCGCCATTTACCATTGCAATCTGAAAGGATGTCAACAAAAAAATCAAGAAACATGAAAGCTCGGTACCATCCTTACTGAAAACAGTGAAAAGGCGTAACATGAAACTCCACTTACTAATATTAGATGATTTGAGCTACCAAAGGAAAATGCCACTGGGCATATCCACATGCCATCTTTAAGATCAAAATAATTCCTTTTTCAGAATAAATTTACTGATGACAAAGCTTATCAAAGTTATATGAATCTGTGACTAAATTATGACACTATATGCTCTCAATGCCATACAAATTCAGATTGTCAACAACGCACTTTCGACAATGGGCATAAAGAGTTTAGACCCTTTTTGAAATGGTAAATAATGCACAAAAAGATCTAAACTATCTACCATTTCAGAACAACTTAAATTGAAAGTAGATTCTTGATGGCGAGGCTAAGACGCAACAAAAAAATGAATATCTGTTTCTGTACAGGATGAGAAGAAATTTATCATACCGGGTTAATTTTGGCTTGATCATTTTCAGAATGAAACTTCGGCAGCGGATGTTGAAATTTGGTAAGTATCTTTTTGTGCTTAAATGTTTTCTGTTATAGGTTCAATCAAGTCCAGATATTGTATATTACGTTTGATTTCAATTCGTCTGATGCTGAAACTATAACAATATATCGACATCCAAGATAGAAAACATCTGCCCCATGCTAAGAGAGATGAGGCTTTAGTTGTCTAATCAAGTTTAGCACGCAGTGCCAAGATAGAAAACATATGCCGCATGCTAAACTTGAAACTATCGACATCCACAATCTAGGTTTGTTTTCAATCATTCTCTCCCCTCCCTCTCGCTCGTGGTTAGTGGATGTGACGGGAAATGACTGTTCTTCCAAAAGTGTTTTTCAAACAGTTCTGGAGAGTTGCCGGTCTGTATTATCTGTTGGCAGCTGTTTTGTTTGTCACTTCTTTGGCTCCTTGTACTCTAATAGTTTGATTTCTTCTTTGGTCTTTGTAGTGGGGTCAAGCATGATTAAGGTGTTAGAGTACATAGCTTTTGGTATTTAGTTTTATGAAGGTTTTGGTTGTTTGGGAAGAAGGAAAATTGCAGAGAAAATGCAGCTATGGTGCTGCAAGAGTTATGAAGGTTCTGATTAGCATAGATATTTGCAAGTAAAACAAATAAATACTGTAGAATTCTTCTTGTCAATTAATTTCAGTTTGTGTGCTCTTCTTCCATATGTTATCTTATATTCATCATTGTTGGAAATTTTAGCTTCCTGTCTCCATTGCAGAAGAAAATTAGTTTTGTTCAAAATTGACTCAGTTTAGAATTTCATCTTCCGTCTTTGAAATTCCGTATGATCGTAAACCCCTTTCACTTTCCTGTTCTTTCTTTATATTCATTGCATAAAGTTTATACGTATGAAACCCGATAATTTCTTGTACGTTAATCCGATGATTGCTTCATATATGGTGGCGGTTTTCGTTAGTCCTCCCCAGTACACATAATCTGTAGCTTAGAGGAATCTGAAGAACTAGCTTCTGTCGAGTAAACAGACAAGCTAACGTTGAGTCCTGCTGTGATTGTTGGTGCAGCTTGCTGCCTTTTGGGATAAAGCTTACGTACTAGCTAGGTCAGTTTCACCACCCATTGACCGGTTCTTCTTCTTTGCCGCAATTCAGTGCTGGTGTTGGGACGTGGAAGTGTTAGACAAATAAGGAATATGGTTGGAGTCCTTGTGTAATTGTATATAATATTATTATTGGAAGAATAAGCCGTCCTACAGCCGTCCTACCTTGTCCTACCTACACACTAGCCGTCCTACAGCCGTCCTACCTTGTCCTACCTACACACTAGGACGGCTACCTTGTCCTCTACAGCCGTCCTACCTTGTCCTACCTACACACTAGGACGGCTACCTTGTCCTACCTACACACTTGTATCATGTATATGTATCCTTGTAATCTTGTAGAGAAACACAATGAGAAAAAAAGCATTCTCTTCCATTTTTCCACATTCACGTATCAATAACAAATATATTTTTTAGCCTACATACCTTTTTCTACATGGTATACAGAGCAGGTTTATAACCCTAGCCCTAATTTTTTTTTTGGCAGCTTTCTCTGCCGTTCCCATGGCTGACTCTTCTTCTTCCGATGGTGTTTTTTCCCTTCATCATTCCGACCACCTGAATCTTGTCCTTGTATCCAAGAAGTTGAATGGTGATAACTACACATCCTGGGCCCGTGGCATGCAGCTTTCCTTGAGTGCCAAGAATAAACTTGGTTTCATCACTGGCGATATCCAAGAACCTTCTTCCTCCGACGACCCTTATGCTCACGCGGCTTGGCGTCATTCCAATGACATGATTCTCTCTTGGCTTTTGCATTCCTTGGAACCTGACCTTCAAGAATCTGTGCTTTTTTCCACCTCTGTCCAAGCTGTATGGGATGATCTTCGCGAACGCTTCTCTCAGAGTAATGCTCCACGCATCTTCCAACTCAACCGGGAACTTGCTACAATTTCTCAAGGTTCTTCTTCTATCTCCGCCTATTTTACTCGCCTGAAAGCTCTCTGGGATGAGCTTGCTTCTTATAATGATGGCTGCACGTGCTCTTGCAACGCCAAGCATGACCGTCAACAACTCATGCAATTTTTAATGAGCCTCAACGAATCCTTTGCTGCTGTTCGTGGCCAGATTCTTTTAATGAATCCCCTTCCCACTGTTCGTCAGACCTGTTCCTCGGTGTCTCAAGCTGAAAAACAACGCTCCCTGGGCGTCCTCCGCTCTGTCGATCAACCTGCTGCCATGGCTGTTCGTGGCCCGTCCCGTCCCTCCTCTGCTCGTCCTCCCCTCCACTGCACCTACTGCAATTTTGATTATCATACCCGAGACACCTGCCATAAACTTCATGGCTATCCCGTTGGCCATCCCCTCCATGGCCAACCGTGGCGACCACCGCGCCGTGCCACTGCTTCCAGTTCTTCCCGCAGCCATGCACCTTCCAGTCCTCCCCGGCAACCACGGTTTTTTGCTTCCCGGCCATATAATTTCACCCAGGCCTATCACGTGCAAGGCACCCAGGCCCCCGCCTCCTCTTCTACTCCAGCGACCCACCAAGTGCACGGGGCCCAGCCCACTTTGCATGACTTGCAGCTTGCCATGCCTGACCTCTCTGCCGAGCAGCACTCCCGTGTTCTAGCTGCTCTACGTGACACCACCACCCCTCCTTAGGCCAATGCCGTGCTCACTACTGATTTTGCCCAAGGTTTGTTACCTGTCACCTCTCGTCATGGTCAATGGATTCTTGACAGTGGTGCTACGGATCATATTACTTCTTCCGCTTCATGTTTGGTTAATCGCTCTCCTTCACATTTGCCGCCTGTTTCTTTGCCTAGTGGTGCTTCCGCTCCCATTACTTTTACCGGCACTCTTCCTTTAAATTCATCAGTTACTTTGAAGGATGTTTTATGTTTCCGAGTGGACCTTTTATCGGTTGGTAAACTTACAGATGGATTATCGTGTTCCATAACCTTCTTTCCTTCTTGGTGTGTTTTGCAGGACTTGGTTTCGAAGGCGATGATTGGTGTGGGTAAGCGACGTGGCGATCTGTATTACCTTGTGGCCCTTACCTCTTCTCTCCCCACCCGTCAACCTCTCTGCAACATCATTACCATCCCCTCCTCCCTCTGGCATAGGCGTCTTGGTCACCCCTCCTCCACTCGTTTGCAAGCTTTAGCATCTAGCTCTCTTAATTGTACTTTTGATTCTAGTCATATTTGTGATGTTTGTCCGTTGGCAAAACAAACTCGTCAACCTTTTCTTTTGAGTTCAATTTCATCAACTTTCCTTTTTGCTTTAATTCATTGTGATATTTGGGGCCCGAATCGTCAATCTTCTCTTTCTAGTGCTCATTATTTCTTAACCATTGTGGATGATTTTTCTCGCTTTACGTGGGTCTTCCTCATGAAACATAAATCCGACACTCAACAATTAATTAAGGATTTTTTTGCTTATGTCACTACCCAATTCCGCACTACCATCCAATGCATTCGTACTGACAATGGTGGTGAATTTTTATCTCTTCGTAGTTTTTTCTCTGATCATGGGGTGCTTTTACAAACTTCTTGTGTTTATACCCCCCAACAAAATGGCGTTGTTGAAAGAAAACATCGTCATCTTCTTGAAACCGCTCGCGCCCTTCGTTTTCAATCCCATCTTCCTATCAAGTTTTGGGGGGAATGTGTTCTTACCGCTACTTATCTCATCAATCGTCTCCCTACCCGTCTTCTCCATCATAAATCCCCATTTGAGGTTCTCTTTTCGAAAACCCCATCTTATGACCACTTCCTCGTCTTTGGTTGTCTGGCATATGCCACCTCTGTCACTCCCACCACCAAATTTTCCCCTCGGGCTCATCGTTGCATTTTTCTCGGTTATCCTCATGGACAAAAGGCCTATACCCTTTACGATCTTGACAATCACCGCATTTTCACTAGTCGAGACGTCATCTTTCACGAAACTACTTTCCCTTATGCCGTTTCTCACCCTCCTATCCCATCCTCTTCGCCTACCCTACCCATCCCACCCCCTCTGGACTTTACATATAACCCACCCCTTCCTGCCCCAACGCCTCACCCTCCTCCACCTTCCTCCCCTTCCACGTCTCCCACAGATTCCCTTGCTGCCCCATTACCCGTTCCTCCCTATGCCCCTGCCCTCTCGGCATCCCCTCCTTCCCCCCCCCCCCCCCCCCCGCTACTTCCTTACCTTTCACCCTTTTACCCACGGACATCCCTACCCCCCCACTACCTACCAATCCTCCCCTTCCCCGCACCTCTTCCCGTGCCCATAAACCTCCATCCTATTTAAAAGACTACATTTGCTCGCAGGTGATTCTGCCATCCCACCCATCTTCGACTTCGCAACCCGGTTCTACACAAGGTACGCGATATCCCCTTTGTAATTTTCTCTCTTATCACCGTTACTCTCCCAGACATTTTTCTTACATTAACTCTGTCAGTCGGACTGTGGAGCCTTCTTCCTTTGCCGAGGCTGCCACTGACCCCAATTGGCAACGTGCTATGATTGAGGAGCTTCAAGCTTTACATGCTAATGGTACTTGGACTTTAACTTCCTTCCCCCCTAGCAAAATTCCCATTGGTTGTAAGTGGGTGTACAAACTCAAGCACAATTCCGACGGCTCTATTGACCGCTACAAAGCTCGTTTGGTTGCTAAAGGCTTCACTCAGGCTGAAGGTATTGATTATCATGACACTTTTTCTCCTACTGCTAAGATGATTACGGTGCGTTGTCTTCTTGCTCTTGCTGCTAGTCAGTCTTGGTCTCTTCATCAGCTTGATGTTAATAATGCTTTCTTACATGGTGACTTACATGAAGAAATCTATATGTCTCCTCCTCCTGGTATTCGGCGACAGGGGGAGAATCTTGTGTGTCGCCTTCACAAGTCACTTTATGGTCTTAAGCAGGCTTCTCGCCAATGGTTTGCCAAATTCACTAGTGCCATCATTTCTGCCGGTTTTCAACAATCCAAAGCTGACTATTCATTGTTCACTAAAAAGTCTGGTATTTCTTTCACAGCTTTGCTCATTTATGTGGATGATATTGTGATTACAGGCAATGATGCTAGTGCCATTAATTCTCTGAAATCTTTTCTCCATGATCATTTTCGGATAAAAGACCTTGGTGATTTAAAATATTTTTTGGGTATTGAGGTTTCTCGTTCCAAACAAGGGATTTATATTTCTCAACGCAAGTATGCATTAGAGATTCTCAAGGACTATGGTTTTTTGGGAGCACGACCCATTGCTTTTCCTATGGATGACACAAAATTATCTGATAAAGGAGAACTTCTCAAGGATCCTGAAAAGTATCGACGATTAGTAGGTCGGTTAATATATCTCACTATCACTCGACCGGATATCACCTATTATGTGCATGTTCTAAGCCGTTTTATGCACGAGCCAAGGATATCTCATATGGATGCTGCGCTTCGTATTGTTCGTTATTTGAAGGCTACTCCAGGTCAAGGTTTATTATTTCGTTCTTCTTACATGGTGACTTACATGAAGAAATCTATATGTCTCCTCCTCCTGGTATTCGGCGACAGGGGGAGAATCTTGTGTGTCGCCTTCACAAGTCACTTTATGGTCTTAAGCAGGCTTCTCGCCAATGGTTTGCCAAATTCACTAGTGCCATCATTTCTGCCGGTTTTCAACAATCCAAAGCTGACTATTCATTGTTCACTAAAAAGTCTGGTATTTCTTTCACAGCTTTGCTCATTTATGTGGATGATATTGTGATTACAGGCAATGATGCTAGTGCCATTAATTCTCTGAAATCTTTTCTCCGTGATCATTTTCGGATAAAAGACCTTGGTGATTTAAAATATTTTTTGGGTATTGAGGTTTCTCGTTCCAAACAAGGGATTTATATTTCTCAACGCAAGTATGCATTAGAGATTCTCAAGGACTATGGTTTTTTGGGAGCACGACCCATTGCTTTTCCTATGGATGACACAAAATTATCTGATAAAGGAGAACTTCTCAAGGATCCTGAAAAGTATCGACGATTAGTAGGTCGGTTAATATATCTCACTATCACTCGGCCGGATATCACTTATTCTGTGCATGTTCTAAGCCGTTTTATGCACGAGCCAAGGATATCTCATATGGATGCTGCGCTTCGTATTGTTCGTTATTTGAAGGCTACTTTAGGTCAAGGTTTATTATTTCGTTCTGACAACCAGACCAAGTTAACTGCGTTTTGTGATTCTGATTGGGCGGTTCTTTGATTTCTTGGCGGACGAAACGACAGAAAACCGTTTCGCTCTCTTCAGCAGAGGCGGAATATAGGGCCATGGCTGGTGCTTGTTGCGAGATAGTTTGGCTTCGTTTTTTGTTGAAGGATTTAAACATTCCTTTGGATGGTCCTTCCATTTTATTTTGTGATAATCAAGCAGCGTTACATATAGCTGCCAATCCTGTTTTTCATGAACGAACTCGTCACATTGAGATGGATTGTCACTTTATACGAGATAAGATTGTAGATGGCACAATAGAGACCAAGCATGTGGGTACGGCACAACAGTTGGCAGACTTGTTTACCAAACCTCTTGGGAAAGAAAAGTTTTCGGGTATGTTACGCAAGTTGGGAGTTCTTGACATCCACTCTCCAACTTGAGGGGGAGTGTTAGACAAATAAGGAATATGGTTGGAGTCCTTGTGTAATTGTATATAATATTATTATTGGAAGAATAAGCCGTCCTACAGCCGTCAAGCTGTCCTACAGCCGTCCTACCTTGTCCTACCTACACACTAGCCGTCCTACAGCCGTCAAGCCGTCCTACAGCCGTCCTACCTTGTCCTACCTACACACTAGGACGGCTACCTTGTCCTCTACAGCCATCCTACCTTGTCCTACCTACACACTAGGACGGCTACCTTGTCCTACCTACACACTTGTATCATGTATATATATCCTTGTAATCTTGTAGAGAAACACAATGAGAAAAAAAGCATTCTCTTCCATTTTTCCACATTCACGTATCAATAACAAATATATTTTTTAGCCTACATACCTTTTTCTACAGGAAGAATGTTCATGGAATGAAGAAGACGGTTGAGCTTGAAAGGAGGGTGCAGTCCGAGATGCAAGTGTGCTGTAAACACCAGATTTAACATTTGGAACACCGGTTTTCTCCTCGCCACTAACGCTGCATCAATTATATATGCGGCTGCAAGTTTGAAGATTTATGTTCCTATTAAACCGCATTGTATTTGTAGCATGTATTAAGTGTACAAAGTAGGTATTTTGATTAGTGAACCACCCAGGAATTTTG